TCAGCAGGATTTCATTAGCACATCTACCCCAGTTCTCCCCCTACTTCAGCTTATGGCTCTGAATGGCCACTGCTGTGAATAGCATTGCTCAGTACTGCTTCAGAAAGCAGAAACCACACTATATGGCTGGGAATCCTCCTTCTATTCAAGTAATCCCCCCCTCTTCCGACTTGCTCTTGGAGAAGGCAGCAAACTTGTAGTTCTATACTTCACAGTCATGCAAACAGCACTGTCATTCTCACTTTTAAAACCAGATCAAAGAAAAGCAGCACCCAGGCAATTTGTATTTTCCACAGCAAATCTCTAGCTACAGAGCATACTACATGTGGCCTTATTATTTCTGCAATCAGAAAAGTCTTAGGTTAATGCTAACCCATTTCACACTAGATGAATCATGCTTCACAATCGGATACTTAGACATTAAAGAACCTAAATCCCCCTCAACCTAATGAATACTACTCATCTCAGCAGCCAAGATTCCAGTGGTACAGACACGGCATTCCTCTGTCTAACCGTGGTCTCGTACACTACTCTGAGCAATGTTAATTATCTTAGCTGATGTTTTTGTCAAAATAGTTCAAGAAAAAAACAAAAATCTTTCCAACAACTCCATATGCATCATTCAATAGGATCACAAAACATCAGTAGTCTAAAAAACCAGACTCATCTAGTATTAGAAATGCAATATCATGGTTAAGCCAGTTTGTCTCCCTGAGTTATTGGGGGGGGAAAAAAAAATACATTTACAAACTGAAGCATAATTTCTATGGTAGTTTGATGGAACATTTTGCTTGAGTTAAATATAAAAGTTTGAGTTCCACAATTTAACATCACTCAGAGCACAGACAATTTCAGAGCAGTGTATCACCAAATCTGTGAATATAAAAAAAAAATGTTTTGAACAAACAAGAGATATTTTGGTAACACTGCTACAGAGAAACTGTTCTCATGGTTAAAAAACCGATACCAACCTAAACATCTCCATTTTAAGATTACATTTCATAAGTCTGTCTTCAAGCAACAACACATATATTCTACACAGTGGTTCAGTGATTAATCCCCCTTGCTAATCAGTATTATACAGAGCAGATTAGAACCAAACTAGTATGAGAATCACTTGAGCTAATAAGGAGAGACTTAAAAGGAGCTCTTATAGTCAAATGCTTTGCTTGGTCCAGTAAGGACATTAAATACCCATTTTCATTTATTGAATCTTAACTATTCAATCTATGCTGATTTCAATAAGTCCTAATCACATAGTTGGCACTTACTAGGTCATTCTGCCTTAGTGAGCAAATGTTCACTAACTTCTGTATCAGCCAAACGGAGAATCCAAGTGAATCTGAGAGAATCCAAGCGGAAGACTAAGCTAAAAGATGAAGGATTGTATCACTGATTTCTACATTGCTTTTAAGTACCACTGCAGCTATCACACCTAGGCCAAATACCTGCTTTTATGGAGGGATGTCATGTAACATCTCATCAGCTCTGTTAGTAAGTATTAACTAGCTTGGTCTAAAGCAAATTAGAAACAGAGACAAAAAAGACCAACCTGTCTTATTCCCCCATGGATCACACCTTTAGCACAAGTTTGTGTTAGCTGTAGCCCCAAGTCCATGTTCGTAATGACAAGTACACAGTTTTGCAGAACTAGTACAACTGTGTTGTACTTTGGAGGCAATTACAATTTACTGCATCTTAACTCTAACACACTGCATTTATGTGCCTCCTATACCACTAAAGCACTTCAGGTGCACCCACAACCTTGTTTTAGACATTCTATATACAGTGATAGAATTCGAAAACTCCTTTATTTTTCAAGACTGATGAGACAGAAGATATCTAGCCTATCTAGTAATTCTCAATGCATCCATTAGCATGCAATACTAAAATGAAACCACCCATCCTTTCTTTCTCCTCCTTTCCTTAGCTGAAAATGAGACATCTTACCCAGCTATACCCACCTCTAAAAACCTTTTCTGACAAAAATTTACAGTTTCTCAAATGGTCCCACTTGGTACAGTTGAACCTGGTGGTAAAAGTTACTCAAGCTATCAGGTGTCACATTAGGTAGAGCTTCAGTTTGGCTTCAAATTTATCTCCTCCGTGCTGAGTGGGCAGGTAGCATGTTGTCTCTATGCTTTTGGGATTTCCTCAGGCTTTTACAGTTGCTCTGATTAGTTCTATCAGTATCAGTGTGACACCACACTAACACCACTTGCTACACCTAATGTATTATTTAAACAACTTAGTTTTTTCCTCCAACAGACAAATACCCAGGTTGCGAGCGTTCAGTTCAAAGTACAACCCCCACTTGGTTGGCTTGGAAACATGCTGTGCCTTCTGCGACTTGAAATTACAGATTTGCTCAGCAGCAAAGCAGACAAAAGACTTGCTCATTCTTAATGTGATGCTTTGCAGGGCACTAAGTTGTTAATGCGGGGACTGCTAAAAAAAGAGTTTGTGGGTCTCCAAAGTACAGGGAGTTCATTCACTTAAAATAATAAAAAGCAGCTGCTCCCTCTAAATTATCCTAAAGCAAATACTTATTTATTCATAGAATGATTAAAGTAGAAATCTGTATTAAAGTAGAAATATGCATTTTCAAAAAAAAAACAAGCAAAAAGGAACTCTTCTTTTTGTAATCTCCCATTTCGTTCTGAAGGGTTGACATCGTAACTTATAATGGAACACACAATTGAAAAACCACGTGCTTCTTGGTGAGGGTAATGGAAAGAAATAGCCTATTAATACTGCAAGTCTCTAGCGCCTGGGAATTTGTAGCAGACTATTTCATTTCAGTATTTCATAAGGAGGTTATGTATGCTCTAGAGAGTTAGACTATCATATATTATTTCCATAAACAATCAGAAATTATCCTCAAGATTCTGCACACATTGCTTCCCCCTCTAAAAATCTCAAGACACTTCAAAGATTAAGCTTCACAACACACTTCAGAAAAAATACAAATATTTCCCTTTCAGTACTGTGGCAGTTAGAAGTTGACTCATTCAAGGTCATAGAATCTGAAAAAGGAATCCACATCTCATTTCTTAATCTTAGTTCTTTCCACCTTTTAAGATTATATTTGTTTAAAAATACCTTCCTAAAAGTGACACAGTATTTATAGCTATGCTATGAAAACAGATTTCAGTTCTGCACCAGAAAGTTTCAATTTTTATTTTTCTTATATAACTGATGCATTATGAGAATAGAGTATCAAAGTGATCAGAAATTGGAAATGGAAAAAGCAATGTAGAGAAACGTTCACAAAATAGCTAGCACTTACCAATGCTTTCAAGCTTTCATACACTTATTACTACATTGACATTTTGGGGGAATTGAGGGGTTAAACTCCACTGGCTCCTCATTTAATCTCCCATAACTAACACCACACACAAAAAAAAATCTAGAGAACAAAAGATAGCCTTAGGGAATTAGGCAGAAAACCATTCTCCAGGAGCGAACAAAGAGAGAGAAGATATCCCAGGTTACACAGGGATCTGTATAAATCTTGAACTCTAAAATATTCGCCTTGTGTGTATGTTGCTTCTGCTTTAAGCCTTTGCTCAAACTGCTGAAGAAAAATCCTTCACAGTGTCAGACACCTCTAGGAATGCTAAGCAAGCCTGGGCAACAGATGAAGACACTCTAACCAGGAAACCATCTCAAAAAAGAAAACTGCGGGATGGAGCATCCTTCAACTGAGGAGGAGAGCTTGATGCCTTAAGGTGCTTCCAATGCGAGCAAGATGTCGAAGACACAGCTTTCTAAAGTGGTTACAGCACATCAGCTGGAGTATTGTAGAAATGATTCCATTCAGATTTTCTTGGAAGCTATAAATTTTTATACTGTAACACACGCAACTTAACCCCTAAAACTCCAACAGAATTAAATGCCAAGTGGGCAATTCTGGAACAAAAGGAAAAAAGAAAGCTCACACTTTCCACCACATACAGAATAGATGCAGCAGCACATCAGAAAATACTGTACTAATGCATACTAGCCCTGACCTGAAAAGGTTACCTTTGAGGGCAGAGCAGATGTGAGTTCATGTCTATTCAGCTTCTTGTCACTGAGACTATCAGGAAAATACTGCCAATTAACATCAATTAACACACCATCTGCACTGTGAGCAAAATCAATCTGTTTAGAATAACCAAGAACTACCATATACTATACATAAACACTATACATGCCGTAATTATTTGAACAAGCAGAAAGCTTAGAAGCTACTACATCAAACCCCACACCTGTTGGTTGGAGATCTTCCCAGATGAAAAACTGGAATTTCACATCAATTATTTACCAAGCTTTTAGGAATGGAAAATTGTATTCAGACGCTGAAAACTATTGAATGGCACACATCATTAATGTGCATCACAGTGACAACTGTGAGGGGCAAGTTTTGGATCTAATAATTCATGTGCTGCTAAAAAGTAGCTGCTGCCCAAAGGAAAATATGCACTAGTTTCTCTCATCAAGTACACCACATGTAATGCTGGGTCTTCACAAAATTGTCAGCAATTTCATAAGAGGTTTTACATTCTGTTATGATGAAAAGGTAACACTTTTTCATATCCCATATCAGTTTCAGAAAGCTAAAAGAGTATGCTCTGAAAAGTTGTAGACAAGAAAGGGTAAATGGCAAAATAGCTGTCTTAGTAAAAAGCAGGGTTTTATTGACCAAAAACTACTATTTCTCTTCTGATTTCTCAAACAGGTAGATGCTTCAAACCATTTACACACAAAGGCTTGAAAACAGTTCCCTCATCCTATAATCCACGAGTGCTGCAAACATTCTCAATTTCTTTCTATTTAATGCCTTCAAGTTTATTTTCCTAGTTAATAATTACAAATAAATTTCCCCAACCCTTCTGAGGCTGCAACACTTTACATAGGCACAAAACCAAAAGGAAGTACTACATTACTCATGCTCAAGGACTTTGTAGGCTCTATGTACTCTAATAGTGTCCAGGTTTGAGCTGATTAAAGCTATTTCTACTCCAAAATAGGATTTTAACTGCTGGTAAGTCTTAGGCAACTTATGGTATCTCTGGAATACACAGTAAATCATCACAGAATCAAATAGAGTAAGGAAAAACAGTCCACCAGTTGACAGCTTCTCCTCTAGTCATATTGAATATACGGATTTTACTTGTTTTCTTCCCCCTTCCCTCCCTCCCCTTTCTGGTGGGAAACGCAAAGCACAGTGTAGGGAGAATAAGCAAACTGGACATTAACAAGACAAGGTAGCTTAGCAAAACCATTTTGACCAGCAGCATTTTGAAAAACAGCCTTTCCAGGAGCTTACTAGAAAGGGAATGCAATAAAGAAGAGAAATCCTGTTGTCTTGAGTGTTTCCCAGTGCTTTCTGGGATCAGTCTTGATTCACTTTCCACTTCAGCTATGTTCCTCCAGAGCAAGTTAACAAGTATAACCAATCCCTGGAGAAAACAGTATACTTTCACTGTCAATCCTTCCTCTCAATTGCTTTTCCAGGACACAGACCAAGCATCATTTTCATAGGAACTGAGAGCCCACAGTCCCTGCTAATTTCCAGGAGAATTTCGGTTTCACAGCTCAGCCTCTCTCCTATTATCACACTGAATCTTAATGAGGCAAATACTCAGGTAAACTGAAATACATTGAGATTATATTGGTTGAAGAGAACTACACTTTGCTCTAAAGATTTTCAACACTTACGGAGGATGTCCCTAAAGAACCAAGGAAGCATATATTTGAATTGCTTGTAAAGATAATAATAAATATTCACATTTTATGTTCCTGTGTTTGCAGATTAAATGAACAAAAAGTGGGCTTTAATCACGGAACACTCCGATCATCTCCATTGTCTCACTTCAGAGAAAAAACTTCCTTAGAAAAATGCATTAAATTAATGTAGTATAAACCAGATGGCTTTAAAATTTAAAAGCTAGTCCTTCAGGAAATGACTGAAGAGCTCTTTACTAACCTCAGCTACTCTTTCCAGAAGCGGTTCCAGCCAGTGCTCATTGCATTCACAGTGGCTATCCAGGAAGGTCAGCACTTTTGCTTGTGCTGCATCTGCCCCTCTGACACGGGAACGCATCAAGCCTGAAAAGTAAAGATAAAAAGTTTTAAGTACTCACTGGGGAAAATAATCAACAGTAGTGAGAAACTATTGCATTCCAAGTTAGTCATTAATTAAATTACTCTAACTCAGACAGGACAAAGACACAAGTTCCATTATCAAGATGAGATACAACAACTGAGTTAACAACTCAGTGAAACTGAGAAAAAGTACCTTTTCTAGAAAAGTAATACACAAGTACAGCTGTGTCTGCATTACAGTAAATGGTATTTATACTGATAAACATTACTCAAGATCAGTCCTGAAAACAAACACCTTTCCTACAGTTTTATCATAGAACTGAGGAAAGCACCATCCTTAACTTAACCTCCTCACCTTTCCGCCACCCCCCTCTTAGTTCCGACCACAGCCTGTCTATTCTTCAACTTCTTCCAGAAACAGCCATGCTTTGTTAATTCATGTTTGTGAGGCTTCCTCCCACCTCTTCCAGCTGTCTTTCCCCTGTGATTCTTGCAATTACCTTGTTTTGTAGTTTATTTGGGTTTGTTTTTTTTAATCTTATCTTGAAAAGTTTTCTTTAGGAAGAAATTTCTGGTAAAGCCAAAAGGTTCTTCTCTACACCTCAATTACACAGATCCCCTCACTGATTTACCCTGTCCCTTTCCATCCTTCCCTCTCTTTTAGTATTTGTTCACTGGATGACCTCACTGTTCCTTAATTTCCCTTGCTATATATACACATATACCCCATTATGTACTTAAATACAGAATACTAGCAAGCTTCCTCACATTCTTTTGCAAATTTCCTCCCTCCTTTTCTTTATTACTATTCAAAATTTATTGATTTCATTGTCACTCAAGACCAAAGCCAAGTAATTAGTTTTGGG